ACAACAAATAAAATTAAGTACATGAATAATTATTTTTTTAAAAAAATTCAGGCTAGGGGCCAGTCGGTGACATGGTGATTGGGGTGATGGACTCCCACATGGCTGACAGTAGTTCGAGTCCCAGAACTGGCAGCTTGCTTTCCCTCTCCCTCCCTCCCTCTCTCTCTCTCTCTTTCTGTCTGCATCTCTCTCTGGTTAAATTGAAGAAGAATAATAAAATTAAAGTAAAATTAAATAAATAATTCCTTTTTTCTTCTTTCTTTCTTTCTTTCTTTCTTTTTTGGAGAGGTTTTTGCTATAGGGCACGTGCACTTGCCAGACAGACAGAGAGAGACAGAGAGACAGAAAGAGAGAAATCAGCCCCCAGGGGGGATGGCCACGCCGCAATCCCTTCTCCATTCTCTTCTCGGGAGCTTGGGCATGCATTTACCTGTACCTGGCATGAGTTTTAAGCCGCCGGGTCTGGGACTCAAACTACGGTCTACTAAGTGGGGGTCCAGCAACATAACCATTATGCCATCTGCTGGTCCCTAGGAGCTCAGAATTTCAAGTCCCTTCCAAGACCTGGGGCCACTCGCCTGAAGGGTTTAGTGCGTCCCCAGACTGGGAGTGAGCACTGAGAGCCCATCCTGGCTAGCTCACACTGAGGAGGAAACTGGCTCAAGGAATGAAATGGCTTACCGAAGGTCATGGGTAGAAACTTCCAGCCAGGGTGTCTTCACAACTCCAGGCTGCCACCGTCTCCTCCCCTAAAACACCCCAGAGAGACGAACCACAAAGAGATCTAGAATAACTGTCTCTTCAGTTAGGAATCAGCTTCCAATCTTGGGGAAAAGTAGCAGACCGGGGTCAGCAGGAGGCACAGGTTAAGATGGCAGGATCTCATATGGACAACTGCATGGTTCGAGTCTCGGGCCAGGTGTCTTGAAAAACATGCCAGGTAAAAAAAAAAAACCCTAGGCTAAAATTATTGCTATGATTGAGCATTATCTGAAATGCTCAGAGTCCTGATAATCAATGTAAAAAGGATATACTATACAATGGTTTACATGATTCCTAGCTGTCTAGAACTATTTACAGACGATAAGCCAGAAAAGACCTACATCAGTGGAGAGGTCCATTATGAGTCTTCAGAATTCCACTCATCATTAAAAATATAATTCAATTCAATCAAAATCCCAAAAGATGTTTGGGTAGGACTAACCTAACTTGAAAATTTATATGAAAGAACAAAAGGAACACACACAGCCAAGACACTCTTGAGAAACAAGGTGAGAAGTTTGCTCCAAATATAGTAAATGAGATCTTATGTTATTACTGCAAGAAAAGACAGGTGGTTTGGGGATTAGGAGCTGGATTCCCACATGGCTGACCTGGGTTCAAGTCCCAGACCTGGCCACTTTAGAACCCAAGGGGTGATCTCTCACTTACCCTCTCACTGCCTCTTACTCTCTTCTCCTGCAAGTACACATGCCCTATGGCAAAAAAAAAAAGATTAACTTTTCAGAGCCAGCAGACGTTGTAGTGGTTACTTTGCTGGACTTCCACATGGCTGACTGCAGTTTGAATCCTGGACCAACTGGGTTGAAAAACACTGGGAGCACGTGCATGCATGTCCAAGAAGGGACTGCACTGTGGCCGTACCCCATGAGGGGTGAATTCTCATTTTTCCTCTCACTGTCTCTCTGTCTCTCTCTCTCTCTGCAGCAAGTTATATGCCATATGGCAAAAATCTCTAAAAAGGAGAAAAAAAGATTAACTTTTCAGTAAATGATATTTACTGAAATAACTAGATACTAACATGTGAGATAAATGAAATTGAAGCCTACTCTACAAAAAAAATTCCCAGCTAGTGTAAAAACCTACATGCTAAAGCAAAACACTGGAAAGCTTTTAGAAGAGATAATGGGGCAGCAGATGGTGTGGTGGTTGGGATGCTGGACTCCCACATGGTCAACTGTAGTTCGAGTCCT